AACTTGATTTTTTTTTACCATTTTTTCCCTCTATTTAAACTAAACTTCTCATTCAAAATTATACAACAATTCTCTTATTCTCAATCCTCCATAATTTCAAAATTTTCATTTTGCTAATCTCTCCAAGTTCTCAATTTTTCTTTCCATCTTATTTGTGAGAGAAATTTTATTGTTGTGAGGATTGAAATTTTTGTGAGCTCAAATTTGTATATTTACTCTATTTGAGGGTTTGTAAGTGTGTGTTTCAAAACCTTCAACTCATTGTAACGGTGTGATCCTCACCGTGGAGAGGATCGTTTTTGCTCTTGTGAAGAGTAGTGTACCGGTTTGACTCCTACCGTGGAAAGAGTCAGAATTTCAATTTACAACCCAAGAGCTGCTTGGGAAGTGGAGTAGGACAGTTGTGCCGAACCACTATAAAAATTCCCGGTGTCAAATTTCTCTAACCCTCTCTCTTATTTATTTTTGCAATTAATCTTAGAATTTGATTGTTTGCTTTCAATTTCTCTTGTTTGCCTTAAAATTTATTTTATCTTACTTTGTTAAAATTGCACATCTCAAAAAGTGTATTATTTTTGTTTAAATTGAGCCCATTTATTAAAAAGTTTATATTTTGTTAATTAAACCCTATTCACCCCCCTCTAGGGTTGCCATACCGATCCAACATACTTAATTGGTTACAAGGCTATATTTGTCTACAAAATATTTTAGAATTTAACGGAAAAAATCAATTAGTCATTATTACAATATTTCATAGATTTGGACATTTTTTAAAACGCGTTATTAATTTTAGTCATTCCTGCAATTGCCCCAATTATTATCTCCAAAAAATGGTCTATAATGTACTAATCACTTTTTTTTTTAATCAAACTTTTTCCACTTAATCTGTTTTGAAAAATTAGAAAACCCAATTACCCAACCTAAAAGAAAGCTCAATTACCCAAAATCTAAAAGAAAGACCATGGGTCACAAGAAAGCTAAAATTATTTTTTCAACAAATCTATACTTAACAATCTTCAATTAAACCAAAGTAATACCATTAAATCTAATGGCCCAAAACCATTTTAAAAAGGTTTGGAAAATTTATTTAGGAGATTAACTTAATTTTAAAACCCAAAAATAAAATCCAAAAGGGGAAAAATTACATTTCCAAATCCTTGAAATAAGATTTAATTTAAAATCTCCACCAAAAATTGAAAACTTAATTTATCTTTAACTAACGAAATTAAACTCAAATTTTAATTTACCCAAAAACTAGAGCTTCAAAATAAGAAGAACCAAAAGTTTAAATTAACAGCTGAAGGGAAAATTCAAAGGCACAAATGAAGTCTTAAAATAAACTAGCCAGAGAACGTGAGACGTTATAAATACAATCAAGCTAGGATCAAGTGATGGTGTCTCTTGGACGACTGTGGAGGAGCTACTCCATAGTTATTTTAGAAAATGGAAACAAAATAAAAAAGGAATGAGGCCACCAAATCTTTAAAATACAGAAAAAATGATGAATAATTTGATTAAGGTCTTAGTATCAATTGAGTTGGATAATAAAACCTTTTCAAGACTAAACAATTTGATAATAACATGTACTTTACATAATTTTTTAGGCAATTTCTTATTTTTATTTCTCAATACATAATTGTAAAAATTGTGTTATGGAAAACTTTATTAAGCATACCATTTTGAAACATTTATACTTATATAATATATATATACACACACATTTGTTAGATTATATTATTATATAATGTTATTTGAATTATTATTAGATTACGTTATTTGAAGTATGGATATAGTATATCATTATATTATTTGAATCAGATTTTCTATTAGAACTATTATTTAAGATTATACTGGTATAAATAAGTTATTACTCTTATATTGCAATTGTATATTAGGTTATTATACTTTCTGTCATCTGGATTACAAGCCCAATCAGCATCTCTATAAGTAAACAAGGACAAATTATATGATTTTGGAATGAAAAGACCATGGTTTAAAGTTTCCTTAAGATACCTCAAAACTCTTTAACTCCTTGAATTGAATTTTAAATACAAGCACAGTAACCTATTTATACTAATATAAAATCTCAAAATCATAATTCTAATAGGAAACCGAATTCAATGGTCTAAATTATATTCTAATTCAAATAACATAATCCAATAATAATTGAAACATCATCTAATAATAATATATACGTATACATAACTGTTTCAAAATGGTCTGTTCAATAAAGTATTTCGTAGTCCAATTTTTCCAATTGTGCGAGAAATAAAAATAAGAAATTGCCAGAGGAATTATGTAAAGTACATGTTCATTTTTTTTAAATCTAAAGTAAATATTGTTATATATTATCAAATTGTTTAGTCTTGAAATAGTTTTATGATCCAACTACATTTTTACTAAGTCCTTAATCCATCTATTAAATTTTCGTATATTAAAGTTTTGTTGGCCTCCTTCATTTCTAATTTTTTTCTTTACATATTCACTACTATTTTTAACCTTCTTCCTTTTTTTTTCCAATTCAATTTCATTTAACTTCTTTTTTAAAATTGATTGATCTTTTCGACTATGTATTGCTTCTAAAATAGTTGCATTGAGTGCATGTTGACAGTAGGTTGCTATCTATGTTCATGTTTAACTTTAATATCTATTCATTTTAATATCATAAAACGGTAATATTAATTAATGTTTAAACAAAGAAAAGTGCATTATAATTATAATTAAAATATCAAATATTCAAATTCTACTTACATGATGTTTCATATACATAACCACATAATAAGCATAGGACACAATTAAACAGAAAGTACTCATGCATGTAAATAAGTTCTAAAAGGTATACCAGTTTCTAGTATCCATGAAAGTCCATCAATGAAGCCTTTCAACGGTAAATCTTGAGGATTCTTCTTTATTGTGCAACACGTAGTAACCTAGCTATTTCACCAGTTGAGAAGTGTGAGCTCCCAGACTCCTATTGTTGTACTTGACATAAAACACAGGTCTAGTAGTGTCTTACCGTCCATCCAAGAAAGACTCAATGAAAGTAATGGTGGAGTAACTCCTCCATGGTCGTCCAAGAGACGCCATCACTTGATCCTTGCCTGGCTGTGTCTCTGATGACACTATTACGTTGTAGTTTTGGAAGGTGAAGTTGCTCTCTTTATGTGCGTCAGATTTGGACTATAGTGCAAAATGCCCATGCATATATGTAAGATTAGAATACTGCGAGCCCATCTCCAAAAATGAAGTCATGGAATACTGCGAGCCCATCTCCAAAAATGAAGTCGATGCTTCCATTTACGTCGCACTCCTTATAAGATTAGAACAATCCTCTCACATAAAGGGTACCTTGATAATCGAGAAGTACACGCTTATAATAAGTCATGTAGTTAGCTTTATTGAAAACTGTCACAAATGTTTGGGGGTAAAAATACCTTGGACACGTGGAAGACGCTCATTGGTATTCAAGGAATAAAATATCCCAGGTCCACCTCGAACTGCCGAGGAGATTTGCTTCGCCCATCGTGGGGTTAAGTGTAAAAAGCCCCAGTTCGACCTGGACGGGTTCGATCTGCTCAATCCCGACAGGTTCGACATGAAAAAGGACAAAGGTAACCGCCAGTTGTGAGTATTGTCGGACCCGCCACCTATAAATAGAGGGCCTCATTTCACGCTCAGGTATCGAATCTCACCTCGAACTTAATATTGAGTCCGACTTATACTGACTTGAGCGTCGGAGAGTTTGCCCTCCTGTGCAGGTTCACTCTTGAGTTTAGGTCGAGCCGGGGACCGGGTTCGAGCTTGGTTCGTTAAACAGCATTGTGCAATTCTTTGCATAAACATTTGGTGCCG